CCCAAGTAGCTGGGACCACAGGCGCCCGCCACAACGCCTGGCTATTTTTTTGGTTGCAGCCATCATTGTTGTTTGGTGGGCCCAGGCTGGATTCGAACCCGCCACCTTAAGTGTATGTGGCTGGCGCCTTAGCCACTTGAGCCACAGGCGCTGAGCCTATTACAGTGTTTCAAAATCTATCTCCCTATTCCCAGAACACAATTTGGGCATGATTTGATTCCCATAGGCCCAGCACACATCAGCCCCATCCTCACAGATCTAAGTTGATGAATATATAATCCTTTTGCCTATTTCTTCATCTTAAAATTTTGTGGTCTCAGGGGTGTATTTTGAAGAAACAAGATGAAATTAAAGCACTTAAGCACAGAGTCTGGCACAGTATAGTTACAAAATAAATACTAATTTTAAGTAGTATTCTATTGAGTTCCCTAGCACTCTAGTCCAAGTTAGGAGCTTAGAAACCATGGATTCAACAACTTTTAGGACCAGACAATATTTAAGAAAGATATTTGATTCCTGAAGTTTGCCTTATAATAATGTTATGAGAAGGGGAGGTAGCAGAGGGTTGCAGACTACGAAAAATGACCCTACTATCCTTTTCTAGGGAGTGCAAAAGAAAGAGGTCTAATACAGTGGAAAGCTGGGGCCCATGCCAACAGTGAGATGTCTACCACCCTCAGAAGCTATGACTTCCCCATTGGGATGGGCACAGTAAAACGAATCAGCTTTCTGAAATACATTCCTATCTGCCCAGTCTTCAAAGGATTTTCTTCAAGGTCCAAAGATCAGTTTCCAGTTCCAGAAGATACTCCAGAAAATACAGAAACTGGGTCTGTGAACACAAAGGTCTGAAAAATTACTTCCAGAAAAGGTAGGATCTGTCTATGGCTTTTGTGGGAACGTTGAATAATCAAAACATTTTTATGCTTTAATCAAACTACTCAGTTTCCATTTTTGTGAACTATTTTAAAGTCTTCAAGATAAAAAGTCAATATATGGATTTTGGGTGAATTCCTTACTAGTTTATACTAAGGCCAGACATTCCCAAATGATGTGGGCCACTGAGAGGTTACAAGTATGCTGAAATTATCAATCCCTTCCGCATTCCAGATACCCGTGCAGAATCTGGACCAATTGGAGTTCACAAGCTAATAACTCTATCGATGGGCAACTTCATTCTTTCACTCCTATATGCTAAACAAATATCACTTTGATAACTGACATGGAAAAGGTTGAGAAATAATGACACAGCAAAAGAGGAAAAAAGCCTCTCACTGCCTTGTGTCAACAGCGGTCAGAATAGCAAAACCTCCTAAAACAGGTTAACTTTACCCTAAAATTATGCCTGTATAGAACTTGACAAGGTAATCATTTGTCCCTAGGGCTTCATAATGTGTGCACTGCTTAAAAGTCTGAAACCTTCCACGTCTATCTGTAATGCAGATATGCCTGGCTCTCTAGTTAAACACTCAAGTGGTTTCTAAGTGAACATTCCTTCATGTGAGAAGTTCCAAAAAAGGGAGGTATGCTTAGATGACTCCTTAATAGCTAAAATAATACAAACTGGGTGGGGCACAGTGGCTCATGCCTGTAATCCCAGCACTTGGTAGGCTGAGGCAAGAGAATTGCTTGAGTCCAGGAATATGAGGTTGCTATGGGTTAGCTGTGATGCCATGGCACTCTACCAAGGGTGACAAAGTGAGACTCTGTTTCAGAAAAAAATAAAAAAATAAAATGGTGGCTCGGCGCCTGTGGCTCAAGCCGCTAAGGCGCCAGCCACATACACCTAAGGTGGCGGGTTCGAATCCCCAGCCCGGGCCCGCCAAACAACAATAATGGCTGCAACCAAAAAATGGCCAGGCGTTGTGGCGGGCGCCTGTAGTCCCAGCTACTTGGGAGGCTGAGGCAGGAGACTCGCTTGAGCCCAGGAGTTGGAGGTTGCTGTGAGCATGATGCCATGGCACTCTACCCAGGGGGATAGCTTGAGGCTCCGTCTCAAAAAAAAAAAAATAAAATAAAATAAAATGGTAAAATACTTAAATAGGGCTTTCTAAGTATCAGGGACTGTCTTTATTTTTTTACTTTTTTGAGACAGAGTCACAAGTTGTCGTCCTGAGTAGCATGCCATGGCTTAAGAGCTCACAACCTCCAACTCGGGCTCAAGCTACCCCGTGCCTCAGTTTTTCTATTTTTAGTAAAGATGGGATCTCAGGATGGTCTCCAACTCATAAGCTCAAGCAATCCACCCACCTCAGCCTCCCAGGGTGCTAGGATACAGGCGTAAGCCACCATGCCCAGCCACCAGGGACTATCTTAAGTTCTTTTTTTTTTTTTTTGAGACAGTCTCATTTACTCACACTTGGTAGAGTGCCATGGTGTCACAGCTCACAGCAACCTCAAACTCTTGGGCTAAAACAATTCTCTTGTCTCAGCCTCCCAAACAGCTGGGACTACAGGAGCCTACCACAACACCCAGCTACTTTTTAGAGACAGGGTCTTGCTCTGGTTCAGGCTGGTCTTGAACTCGTGAGCGCAGGCAATCCACTTGCCTCGGCCTCCCAAGTGCTGGGATAACAGATGTAAGCAACTGTACCTGGCCTTTAAGTCCCCCCTAAAGGCTCAGCGCCTGTAGCTCAGTGGCTAGGGTGCCAGCCACACACACTGAAGCTGGCGGGCTTGAATCTAGCCCAGGCCAACTACAACCAAAAAATAGCTGGGCATTGTGGTGGGCGCCTGAGAGGCGCTCCTAACTACTTCAGAGGCCAAGGCAAGAGAATCACTTAAGCCCAAGAGTTTGAGGTCGCTGTGAGTTGTGATGCCACAGCACTCTACTGAGGGTAACACAGTAAGATTCTGTCTTTAAAAAAAAAGCACCCCTAAAGTCACATGTGGGGAAAATGAAAAATTGTAGCTAAATGTACAATTGCAAAATACTCATTATAAAATTTTTTTTTTTTGGAGACACAAGTCTCACTCTGTTGCCCTGATAGAGTGCCATGGGGTCATACCTCGCAGGAACCTCAAAGTCTTAGGCTTGAGCAATCCTCTTGCCTTAGCCTCCCAGTAGTTGAGACTACAAGTGTGCACCACTACATCTGGCTAGTTTTTCTACTTTTAATAGAGACAGGGTCTCATTCTCCCTCAAAATGGTCTCAAACTTCTGTGCTCAAGCAATCCACCTCTCAGAGTGCTAGCATTACAGGTGTGAGCTATTCTCTATGTGTTGGCCACCTTTTTGTAAAATTTTGTCATGAATACTTTATAAATAAAGGTACAGTTAGCTACAATTTCCTATTTTCCTCACTTATGGAGACTTTAGGGACACTCTAAACATTAATCATACAATCCAGATACATAATACTGCTATTTTAAAGACGTAGGAACTAAGGCACAGAAAGGTTAAGTGACTTGCAGTGATCACAGGATTCATATCCAGAACTCTTGCTAGAGTCTTTCCTTGTTATCATTAGGTTACATATAGTGCCTCTTGTTTGAATTCAAGTTTACAATCTCCAATTAACTATATTATAACTTGGCAGCAAGTAGAAATGAACTCATTTGCCCCTGTCTGAGCTCAGAGAGAAAGGCTCCGTAAGCCTCATACAGATGGTAGCTTGTTATGCCACACGTGGTACTGAGCTGTTAAAAGAACAGAGGACACTGGTTGTCTCGTGGCTCTAAAAAGACAAGAGTCAAGCATGACTCTGCCTCAGAGTTACTTTTAAAAATCATCTATTTATTAGTTGGTTTTTTTTGCAGTTTTTGGCCGGGGCAAAGGTTTGAACTGCCCACCTCCAATATATGGGGCCAGCACCCTAGTCCTTTGACCCACAGGCACCACCCTATTTATTAGTTTTTTAAAGGTGGCTATTAAACACTAAGGCATCAGTATTCACACCAAAGGACACCCAAGAAATGACTGTATGACCAGCATAGTCTTCCTCAACCCAACATATTCAAAAGAAAAGCCCTTGTGAAGGGCATAAACAAATGTGAGTTTCTTTATTTTGGAGACAGAGTCTCAAGCTGTCGCCCTGAGTAGAGTGCCTTATCATCATAGCTCACAGCAACCTCTACCTTGGGCTCAAGCGATCCTCTTGCCTCAGTTTTCTATTTTCAGTAGAGACAATGGAGTCTCGCTTTTTGCTCAGGCTGGTCTTGAATCCATGACCTCAGGCCATCCACCCACCTTGGCCTCCCAGAGTGCTACGATTACAGGCATGAGCCACTGCGCCCAGGCACAAATGGGAGTTTCTACTAGAATAAGGTTACCATCACAGTGGTCAGCCACAATGTTTCTTATATGGCTATCTATGACTTAGCTAATACTGCAGTCTGAGGTGCTAAAAAGCAAGGACGAGGAATGAAGTTTATTTCACTACTGTATTTTTTTTTTTTTTTGAGACAGTCTCACTTGTCGCCCTTGGTCGAGTGCTGTTGTATCAAAGCTCACAGCAACCTCCAGCTCTTGAACTCAAGCAATTCTCTTGCCTCAGCCTCCCAAGTAGCTTGGACTACAGGAGCCTTCCACAAAGCCTAGCTATTTTTAGAGATGAGGTCTTGCTCTGGCTCAGGCTGGTCTTGAACCTGTGAGCTCAGGCAATCATCCACCTTGGCCTCCCAGAGTGCTAGGATTACAGGTGTGAGCCACCTCACCAGGCCTACTGCAGTACTTTGGACAGAAATTTGCACAGAAACACACTTGCTACTACAGAATTTTTTTTTTTTTTTTGCAATTTTTGGCCAGGGTTTGAACCCACCACCTCTGGCATATAGGGCCAGCACCCTACCCTTTTGAGCCACAGGTGCTGCTGGCTACCACAGAATTTAACAAAGCCTGATCTCAGCACATTTTGCCAGCAAGACTGACTTGAGATACTGGGCCCATGCTGAAGTGATGAGCATCACCACTGGAGAGTCTGCACTCCAGCACCAATAAACACAACCATCAACTCAGTTCTACTATTATTTATTTTTTTAAATATTTTTGAAAAAATATAATTTTTTTACAATATTTTCAACTTAAACACTATTCACACTGAACACGTATGGCAGCTTAACCTATCCAAATATGAAGTTTAAGAAGCCAAAAACTCTTCTAGCTTTGTTAAAAGAAAAGTTGTGCTGCAGACTATTGTCGTGATAATTAACAAAGCAAGGAAAAGCACCACTCAAATCATAACATTACAATATCTTTGTTCAATTGGATTATGGGCTGGTGTTGGTCATATACCTGTGGACTCCACAGGTGTAACTATGATACAGTGAATCCTCAGAATAATATGCAATTCTCAAATCACATATTTCCTCAGATGTAACATTAGCAGAATTCAATATTTCTAACATGATAACATACCAGAAAAACCACGACTAGTGCTCATTTCATCACTACCTTGTAACCTTAGTTATCAGACATACTTGTCTTAACAAATTACCTCAAATTAACTTACAGACCTTCAGAAAAAGATTCTTTTTGATGAGTATAAATGTAAATTTGAGTCTGAATTGAAAAATCTGTTTAACAATTAGAACTTAGTTTAAATTTACATATTTGAAAAAAGTTTAGACATGAACATCTTTTATTTAACCCTAAAGGACCAGTTTAGACTCAAAGACAACAATTTAGCAAGATTTAGAGGTCTTTCAATTTGGTGCTTTAATTTGGTGCTTTATCACAATCTGACTAGTGCTTCTTTCCTTGCTGTCTTCACATCAAGCCATGGGACCAATTCTAGTTTCAGTAAATGTTTGACAGCTTTTTACTTAATAACAGTCTCAGCACTTTTATTAAGCATGCAAGACTAACAAAAACTTTGGCAATGCATAAGTGTAACACAGTGACAAGAGAGAGCTTTTACAATTAAGTCTTCTAATACTGCCTTCACAGTGTGGGAATTGTGCTACATCCACCAAAAGAGGGCCCCCCAACTACTCAAATATTTTAGTACTTCACCCCAGGAACAAATTCCTTTGCATTTGGATTCAGATTGCTCTTGACCTGTAAAATAAACATAAAAAGCAAGTTCTTTAAGTGATGGCTTCAGATACTCAGAAGTATTCTACCTAGACCCTCAAGCAAAACCATCTAACACAAAAATATACAATAAAAGCATTAACTCAGATTAAGATTACCCTTAACGACCTCCAAAAATCTGGACAGGGGGCTTGGCGCCTATAGCTCAACCGGCTAAGGCGCCAGCCACGTACACCTAAGGTGGCGGGTTCGAATCCCCAGC